GGGGCCCCATACGAGGGGGGCCCATACGAGGGGGCCCCATACGAGGGGGCCCCATACGAGGGGGGCCCATACGAGGGGGCCCCATACGAGGGGGCCCCATACGAGGGGGCCCCATACGAGGGGGCCCCATACGAGGGGGCCCCATACGAGGGGGCCCCATACGAGGGGGCCCCATACGAGGGGGCCCCATACGAGGGGGCCCCATACGAGGGGGGCCCATACGAGGGGGCCCCATACGAGGGGGGCCCATACGAGGGGGCCCCATACGAGGGGGCCCCATACGAGGGGGCCCCATACGAGGGGGCCCCATACGAGGGGGCCCCATACGAGGGGGCCCCATACGAGGGGGCCCATACGAGGGGGGCCCATACGAGGGGGGCCCATACGAGGGGGCCCCATACGAGGGGGGCCCATACGAGGGGGCCCCATACGAGGGGGGCCCATACGAGGGGGCCCCATACGAGGGGGCCCCATACGAGGGGGGCCCATACGAGGGGGCCCCATACGAGGGGGCCCATACGAGGGGGGCCCATACGAGGGGGCCCCATACGAGGGGGCCCCATACGAGGGGGCCCCATACGAGGGGGCCCCATACGAGGGGGCCCCATACGAGGGGGCCCCATACGAGGGGGCCCCATACGAGGGGGCCCCATACGAGGGGGCCCCATACGAGGGGGCCCCATACGAGGGGGCCCCATACGAGGGGGCCCCATACGAGGGGGCCCCATACGAGGGGGCCCATACGAGGGGGGCCCATACGAGGGGGCCCCATACGAGGGGGCCCATACGAGGGGGCCCCATACGAGGGGGCCCCATACGAGGGGGGCCCCATACGAGGGGGGCCCTGAGAGGGGGCCCCATACGAGGGGGGCCCATACGAGGGGGCCCCATACGAGGGGGCCCCATACGAGGGGGCCCCATACGAGGGGGCCCCATACGAGGGGGCCCCATACGAGGGGGCCCCATACGAGGGGGCCCCATACGAGGGGGCCCCATACGAGGGGGCCCCATACGAGGGGGGCCCTGAGAGGGGGCCCCATACGAGGGGGGCCCATACGAGGGGGCCCCATACGAGGGGGCCCCATACGAGGGGGCCCATACGAGGGGGCCCCATACGAGGGGGCCCCATACGAGGGGGCCCCATACGAGGGGGGCCCATACGAGGGGGCCCCATACGAGGGGGCCCATACGAGGGGGCCCCATACGAGGGGGGCCCCATACGAGGGGGGCCCTGAGAGGGGGCCCCATACGAGGGGGGCCCATACGAGGGGGGCCGTGAGAGGGCCCATGGGCCAGATAGGCCGCCTTGTAGATAGGCCGCCTTGTAGATAGGCCGCCTTGTAGATAGGCCGCCTTGTAGATAGGCCGCCTTGTAGATAGGCCGCCTTGTAGATAGGCCGCCTTGTAGATAGGCCGCCTGTAAAGTGTTTGTCGTCTATAGGCTGTCCTCTAGTGCCCTAAGTATGTATATAATAGTTACGGCCTCGCTGCCCCTGTCCAATACACGACAGCACACGATCTAGAGACGTACGATAAATACTTTACAGACGGCTCTCGGCCGAGATAGTCATCACATGTCATAAGACACACACAAGGATATCTCTTATTTATTCTATCGATGGTAAAAATGAATGCCGAACTAACCAAGCTATAGCTAGGCTAGCTTAGCTAGCTATCCGGACTGCTATGTATGTTATAGCAGTGCGCCTTATTTATGAACGCCGCTCTGTTAGGAACGCCGTCAGCGTCTTTGGATTACTTGTATATGCTTCCCATGTCTGCCTGTGTGCATGGCAGCTCCGAGCGGCGACCCGGAGAAGGGACGCATATACATGGTCAAGTTCGTTGATGACAAGAGCGGTCAGGCGTCCTGCCTTGGGGTGACTCTTTCGTCTGCAAGCAGTGGATCCTCGGTATACATGACTGCATGCGATGCCAGCGACCCGAAAACGCAGTTTGCAGTTTTTCGAAACGCATATCAGGACAGGTGAGGACTGCTGACCCGGGGTACGATTGGGGGAAAAAGCCCTGCAGCCCCTGGCCGAGCGAGGGCTCGTCTAGAAAATTATATAGATCTGTAAAGTGTTTTGATAGTCACAGATCGTGCCCTGGTGTATTAGATTAGGACCGTCCCATTCTATTCTATGCCCGGGTGGGTGCGATCTAGAAATAGACGACCAAACATTTTGCAGATGCTACTTATTAATTTAAAAGTATTCTCAGCTGATACACCAGAGCGTCCTCCTCGTAAAAACAAGCCATGAAATCATTAATACGTTTTGCCTTGACCACTTGATCCGTCTTCCAATGTTGGGCTTGAGCCGCCTGCCTACCCGAGCTGTAATATCCGACATTGCATGCGTGTTGAGTAGGTTGAGTGCCGCGCTGCAACCCCGCTAGCGGGTCTCGCTCCGAGCTGAGCTGCCGACACTAAGGACGGACGCTCTTACCTCAAACCTGGGGTAGTCCATCCATCCGGGCCAAGTAACGGCGAGTAGTGCATACCTTGCACCTTAGTAGTGCATTACCGTAGTAGTGCATTACCGTAGTAGTGCATTACCGAAATCGCCTTACTGCCATCAGCCAATGCACTGTTGTTGCCGCATACATATGCGCAGGCCTGTCTACATGTTCGTCCCATACCTCGCGGCGTGGGGAGATTACCCAAAACAAACGGAAGACTGCAACTATCTAGGGCGAAAATGTTTGCAGTCGAGTACACTGGAAGACGGAAGCGACTTCACAATAGCCGATTGTGATGAGGAGGACGAACGGCAATTCTTCAAAGTGCCTGCAGAATCAGCAGAATCATGCGATGTAAATAATCAGCAGAACTCCCGACGCCATCATCACCGAAGATCTCTGGTCGGCAACGGGTGCACACCATCACCACCTTCGCCGCTGCCTCCCCCCTCTCCATCACCGGCCATCCGTCCGCCACCACGGCCTCCATCCCCTGCTTCACGACCACCTAAACCACCAAGCCAGACTCCGCCAGGTGTGCCAACCCCAAGACCGCCCCCAACACCTTCACAATCGAAACCACCTCCACTGCCAGGAATGTCGCCTCCGCCACCCCCACCCCCACCGTCGTCAACATCCCCGCCACCGCCACCACCGCCATCGTCAACGTCTCCCCCACCACCGCCATCGTCAAAGCCCCCGCCACCACCGCCATCGTCAACGCCCCCGCCACCACCGCCATCGTCAACGTCTCCCCCACCACCGCCATCGTCAAAGCCCCCGCCACCACCGCCATCGTCAACGCCCCCGCCACCACCGCCATCGTCAACGTCTCCCCCACCACCGCCATCGTCAAAGCCCCCGCCACCACCGCCATCGTCAACGCCCCCGCCACCACCGCCATCGTCAACGTCTCCCCCACCACCGCCATCGTCAACGCCCCCGCCACC